AAAAAAAAAAACTTTTGACGGAACACAGCATTTTGCGCATGCGTCAGAATACGGCAACACTATGGCAAGCCGGCTGTAGTTAGCTTGTAGCTTCGCTTCTTAGCTCTCGAAGAAAATACTTTAATGCCACTTGTGCACAGTTTTCAACAAAAAAAAGTAACGATTAAATCTGACAACTCTGATTTTACACTTTAACACCACTTACCCACAGTTTTCAACCAAAAAAAGTTACGATTAAACTGACAACACTGATTTTACTTCAGACACAGCATTACTTCGGTTAGCCGGTAGAAGACAGATCTCTATCGTAGGCTAAATTTCTATTGTTTCTACCGTGTACCATTTATATTGCGCATTCCTAGTACCGAGATAAAACATTATGTGGCAGTAGCTTAGTCATTTGCAACACACATTTAGAAAGTGACATCTTATATCACGAGAGTATGCATAACGTTCCGACAATTTTCAGTCAGGTCATCTGGACAGTTTTTTTTTTTTTGAGAAACTGAGAAAAAAAAAAACTGTCTAGATGACCTGACTGAAAATTGTTGGATTGTATACCTGGATTATTGAGCATGGACTTTTTTGGTTATACATAACATTATGTTTAAGATTTGACCAAAACTAACGCAACTCGGTCATTTTTCAACGTAAGATTTTTAAACTTTCCTCCTAAAGATGCTGATGTTGTGCTTTCCTTCAAGGAATGTTACGCCTTTCTTCTTTCTCCAAAAAAGTTCAATCTGGTCCTCTGGACATTCACAAAAAACAAAAAACAAAACAAAGCAAAAAAATGTAGAAACGTTTCGTCTCTCATCCGAAAGACTTCCTCAGTCTGAGGTGCTGTATTCAGCTCAGTCTCTTAAAAAGCACCTTCTCAGAGTGGATCAACCAGTTTGCTGCTGACAACCAAAACCAGCTGCTCACATGGTCAAGAAGGACCATCAGCCTAACAATGGATCATTAGCACACTGATGGCTGTTTACTATTCACAAGGGGTTGAGTGATACTAGCAATCACAGCATTGTAAGAGGGGGACAGTTGAACTCGAAGGCCTCCACCCCTGTTTAATAATGGACGATTTTGTTTTTTGGTTTTTTTGAATGTCCAGAGGACCAGATTTAACTTTTTTGGATTTTTCTACCTGGATTATCGAACATGCATCAGGATACTTTCTTCTTTCTCTTTTTGTGGCCTACTGTCAACATCCTCCTCTGTATCAGTCACTATGCATCTTACTTTGCCCCTGCAGCACTTGGTCCCAGTTCTTTGTCCCTGCTCACATGAGAGGGAGAGATGATGCTCATCCTCATAGTTTTTCTATCTTCTCTTGCCAGTCGCCGTGAAGTGGAAAGTCGGTCATTTTCTCCGTCAACTAGGCCAGAATTTGTTTGTGCTGAACCACACGCTGCCAAGGGCATGTCTTTGAAGAGTTCCTCACTCTTCTTACTGTTTATCGGCCCCTCGGGCTTCAGAAGTGAATCACTGGGTGAAACATGACCTCATTACTGCACATGAGTACAAACACATGCAAATACATGCAGTATTTGCATGTGTGATAATACACAAGTGAGAGGTAATGTTCTGCATATATCCAAATATGCACTTGACAAATAACATAACTTTTCATTTATATGGTTTTTGCAAGAATATTTCAATCCAGCCATCATTTTTACCCTCTTATTCATTTTTGGGTTGTGGGGGGTCACTGGTGTCCATTTCCAGCAGTCACTGTGCGAGAGGCGGGGTACACCATGGACAGGTCTCCAGCCCATCAGAGAAAAATGATATTTCATGATTAGAAATTGCTGCTAGTAAAAAAGTGTTCTGATTAGTTCTTGTTGTATAATTTATGGAAAATGATAATTTTTAGGTTTAATTGGGGGGGGGGGGGGGCACAGACCGTAACATGAAGCTTGTGACAGTTCTGTGCATAACTTTACCAATGAACTATTAGTGCCCGACCGATGTAGAAATTTTAGCTATTGCCGATACTGATATTTGGAAGGGTACGGCGACCACCAAGAGCCGATATAATGGCTGAACTTTTTTGAGCTTTGTCCAACCCCAAGAATCTAAGAAAAGATCGAGTGGAGCTGCGCTCGTTTGTTTAGCGCAGCTGTTAGCATCCATGAAACTAAGCTAATCAGATTCACACTATACATAGTCCCACTCTCGGTTTACAAGTGGTGCACTGGTCATAAAAGTCTTCCTAACGTGTGTACACATTTTCTATCCTTCACCATTCACCATAGAGTTATCAAGTGTGTTACAAAAATAGAAATGAAACAAAGAAGCACCCTTCACTGTTCATTGTTTAAACAGTCAGGCACGTATGGTGAAGGGCTAATTAGTATTCAAGTCAGGTCAAGTCAAGTCAGATTTATTTATAGAGCACATTTAAAACAGAAACTGTTACCAAGTGCTTAACAAAAATATCACATCATCAAATAAAAAGTAGCAAGATATATTTACAGCACATGGAATAAAAATATAAAACCAAAAACATAATTAGAAACAATGAAATACTTAATCAGATCACATTGTGTCAAAAGTCAAGGAAATAATAACGAAAAGCATAAACTCAGTCAGAAACAATGAAATCCTAAATCAGATCTGATGACATTGTGTTTAATAGGAATAATAACAAAAGCATAAACAGAATC